GGGGGAAATGTGTTTATTCGGTCCCAAAATTCAATATATCAAATCTGCGAATTCATGTATGACCCGATAAAGGCTCCAAAATGTTTAAGATAAAAGTAAGTGGGCAATATATTAATCTAAATATTATATATGTTAAATGGTTTAAATAAATTTTAAGTTTCTGTAAAATATGGTTTTTTGTGTTTAGTTATTTAAAAAAATCAGTTTCGTTCTTAAGAAAAAATTATCTTTCATTTTCATCTTTATCTTCAGATGGGTCACTAACTGGAAAAGGTTAAAAAAAATAATATATAAATCAAAATAGAAAAACAAGAAAATGTTAGAGATCAAAATAAAAATAAAAATAACTAAAATTTGAAAGAATTTAAACGAAAACAACAAAATTTTGGAAAGGTCAAAAAAAAATTAAAATTAAAAAGATTAAAAAAAATCAACTTTATTTTCTAAGAACTAAATATTTATTAAGTTAAAGTATCTCTTGACATTGTTTTAAACTTCTACACAGTTTTATTCACCTTTATTCTCTTTTAGATTCATCGTTCATATCACCTCTTTGGTCGTCATTCAATTTTTTTTATTCTCCATTCATATTCACACTGTATTATTATACTTTAATGCAAATTGTCAACTAACTTTTATTGTGTGTTTTTAAAAGGAGGATAGAAACTTTTCATAAGAAACTTTGATAACTAATTGTTTAAATTTTGTTGTGGGAAAGGTCTTAGGTAAAATTATAAAAAAAAAATAAAAAATAAATCACTACATACTTTGAAAAAATATTATTCTCTTTTCTATTAAATTGTGAGACAATTCTTCAAATATATGTTTTTTCTACACCTATTTTTATGTAATTATTATTTTATATTTAGTCCTAGTAATGCTTTTCATAGGATTATCCATAAAAATTATTAGAGGTATAAGGAAAAAAATTGAGTAGTTGGATAATTATAATGATATTTATTTGAGAAATTATTAACAATATATTTTTTATTTGTATATGCATATTTAAAAAAAATTTATGTGTGTGAAAATACACAATTAAATTGTAATTCAAAAGAGAATTCGACCTCCTACAACCAGCATAGACCCAACATATTATTAAGCTTAAAACAAATCTTAAAGTGATGCTTTTTAAAAATTAATAATAATATCTTTTGATAAAAGAATAAAAATATTTTAGAGATGGATCTTAAAAAATAATTATATATGTATATCTTTTAGAGATAAACCTTTTAAAGTGAAATTTTAAAAATGTAAAAAGTGACTTTTAAGTTATAGAATCTTGAAAAAATTATATAAATATTGATATAAAAAAAATTGAAATGATTTGTTCGAAGATGTAAGGGCTCATGATTTCATTTTATTGAAATTACTCCATTTAATTTTGTTTATATATATATAATTTTTTATTTTATTAAATTTTTTAGATGTCTCAAATTTGGTTGCTATTCTTCTCAAAGATTCTATTTCACAATACTTCACTTTTTAACATGTTTTGTCCTTACTTACACAGTTTCTGGAAAACTTCCCAGAAGGTCACCCATCCCTATATTACTCCAAGTCAAGCACACTTAACTATGGAGTTCTTATGAGATAAGCTACATAAAAGCATATACATGTTGTCAGTATAAGTAGTACAAATTAATTCATTTAAGTCATTCTTAACTATACAATCTCATACTTATACTATCTTTGGATCCCTCTCATTCCGGTATGTCTGAACCATTATAAATATATAATAATTATATTACTAATAATAATTATATTATATTTAATTAATCTTTATTTATATATATACTTCAGGCCCAGTAGACAACAACCAGCCCAAAACTGCTAATCTTTCTCTAAAGAGCCTAATCCCTTCACCTGATTCCAACGTGGGTACCCCTTTCCTTTTTTGTGCCACCACACACATCCTTTCTCACACACATGCGCTGTCTCTCATTTCTTCACATACCACCCCTTGGATTGTAGATTCAGGAGCTACAGATCATATTGCATCTTCTCTTGCTTTACTTCAAGCCTATACCAAAATAAAACCCGCTCGAATAAATTTACCCAATGGTGCCTTTGTCACAGCACATTTCTCAGGAACTGTACAATTTTCTCCTTCTTTTGTCATACATAATGTTCTCTATGTTCCAGAATTTAATTTCAACCTTTTTTCTATTTCCAACTTGATTTCTAGTCTTTGTTATAAACTCACTTTTTCTAATGATTCTTGCATCATATAGGATGTGAACTCCTCGAGGATGAATGGTTTGGCTAAACTACAATAAGGCCTCTATCACTTGGTAATCAGCGAAGAACCTCTATCCCCACTCAATGCTCCATTTGTTCACTCTTCCACCACCAGTCCTATCACCATGAAAAACATTTGGCATTTTAGACTAGGCCATTTATCTGGGAAACGTCTTACTGTTTTACATGAACAATTTCCTTTTATTTCCAAAAATTTTAATGAAACTTGTGATGTTTGTCATTTGGCTAAGCAAAGAAAGTTATCTTATTCTTCTAGTACTAGTAGAGCTTCCAAAATATTAGATTTAATTCACATGGACATTTGGGGACTTTTTTTCTAAAGCCTCCATTCATGTTCACAAATATTTTCTAACTATTGTTGATGATTATAGTATATATACTTGGGTTGTTTTACTAAAATCAAAAGCGGAAGTCCAATTGAATGTTCAAAATTTTGTTGCTCTTGTTGAAAATCAATTTGAAACAAAGGTTAAATGTATTAGATCTAATAATGGTCCATAATTTTTCTTAAAAGATTTTTTTTCATCCAAAGGCATTTTGCACCAAACAAGTTGTGTTGCTACTCCACAACAAAATGCAAGAGTTGAAAGAAAACACCAACACATTCTCAATGTTGCAAGAGCACTCCTTTTTCAATCACATATGTCAACTCATTTTTGGTCCTATGCCATCAAACATGTTGTTTATCTCATTAATCGTGTTCCTTCTCCCGTCCTTCATAATCAAACTCCTTATGAGTCTTTACATAAACAGCCACCAGATTTTTCCATGATCAAAATTTTTGGTTGTTTATGCTACGCATCAACACACACATACCATAAAAAATTTGACCCGCGTGCACGACGTGGAGCTTTCTTAGGCTTTCAAAATGGCACAAAAGGTTACATTCTTTTGGATTTAGACACAAAAGAAATTTTTATTTCCAGAAATGTGATTTTTCATGAAATGATTTTTCCTTTTGCTCCAGATAAAGAGCCCAATCCAACCTTGTCTTGTCCCAACCCAACTTGGTCATTGCCAAACACTGATTCCCCTTCAACCATAGCTCAAACAAACATACACTAGCCCAAACACATCTCAAACCAATATAGGCCCATATTCATCTACCAGATATAGCTAACCCAGAATTTAGCTAACAATACCCTAATACGCCTCATTTTTTATTCAGGTATTAAGCTAGAGAATTGAGGATTTAAGATCCATAGGATTGGAAAGTTAAGGAGCTAAGGAACAAGGAAGAGTAACTGCGCCGGGCACAAGACTACCCTGCACCGGGCACAAAGACTAATGCGTCGGGCATGTAACCCTAATCTGACTCCCCAAGCTCGTATTTGAAGAAATCTTCGAGGTTTTTCTCCTCATTCGCACTTTGGACGCATTCTAGGTGTTGAGGAAGGGATTCCCAAAGCTTGGGACCGTTCGTGTGTGGGTCTTTCCTTCGGTTCTTCATTCTCTCTTCCATCTCTATTTTTGTTTCCCCCTCATTGTTTTGAGTGGTTCTACCCATTGTTTTGTGGGGATAGATGTAACCAACGAACTCTATTGTAATCCTTACGTTTTAATGATATATATACATGTTGTTTCACTCATTGTTGTGTATGTTTCTATTCTTAATGCTTGCTTTGGATTGATCCTCTTTTGCATGATATAGGTTCCATTGGGTGTTGGAAAATAACCATTGAAACTAGCTCTGAAACAAATACCTAGTGGGAAATGTATCTAAGAATGGAGCTTGACCCATTAGTAGTCTTAAACCCTAACCCGTAATGCGGGTGTAGGTATTGGATACTCAAAGAATTGATATTCATTATCCGCACCTAGGCTATTGCTCTAAGAGATTATGTTTGAGTAAACTTATGGATTGACTAAGCAATGGATGTAACAAGAGATTAAGGATTCATTAGTGTGACGTTCGGTGATATCTGAACCCACAATCTTACAAAACCATAATACCATTTCTACCATTTTCCACACACAAACAAATATTTTTGTAGTTTAACATTCCAGTAGTCATGACCTCTAATTCACATTTGCATGACAAACTACTAAATTGGAATTATTCTTTAGTCACGATAGTCAATAAATGCTTACTTTACCTACTAGTCCCTGTGGATACGATATAATTTACTACTTGAACGGTCGATACACTTGCCGTGTTTGAGACCGTTGATAGAATTAAACTGATTTACAATGATAACAAAAGTAGTTTCAACGAAAATCTCAACAACCCCTGATTCGCGACCCCAAATTTGCTCAGTTATTTATAAACCACTCAACCCTTTTATGATAAAAGTAAAAGTAACCTTTGATTCAATGTATATTGATGTTAATGTTTTGTAATT